CATGGAGACAATCTTTGGACAGAAGATGAAAGATCTTTAAATCTCCAAACTTGATGTTTTATGAGAATTCACTACTCTTTGCTTTGATCTTCTTCCTTGTTGGTAAAATTAATGCTGGGTCTTTTCTCTGACATTCTGACAGACACACAGCATTTAAGCTGCATCTGGAAAAACAAACTACTGTAATTTCTAGACTATAAGCTGCAACTTTTCTCACAGGCACCGTGGCTAATACAATGCTGCAGCTTTTTTGTGGATTTTATTTTTATTATTTACTTTTTGACAGGCTAACGAGCTTCGTGCCGCCAAAACATTTAGCCTCATCACACCCGGGCATCACATTGCTCAATACTTATTGAGCATCAGGATAGTTGAACACGTCCCTCTTGGTATCAGTGTGGTTTACAGCACACAGAAGTGTTTGAATCATTTAAAAACACTTCCTGTCCTCTAAAACTGACATCAAGCAGTGTTTAACTTCACCATCAGGGAGAGACAAACCATCATTAAAGAAGGTCCGGTCCATTCTAGTGACAGATGTTCCAACTCCTTCTGGCTCACTGAAAATAACCAGCTCCTAAATGGCTCCTCAGTTAGACCCATTGATGATGATGTTTGAAAACAGATCAGTTCATGTGCTTTATATATTTGAACGATTAGAGACGGTTCATGTCTGTGAGGACTGTGAAGACTCTCCATGTTGAATGGAGAGTTCGTCTTCTTCTCTTTGGACTGGTTGAACAAACTTTAAGTTTGTTTAGTTTCTTCTTGAACTTTGTCTTCAGGAACATTTTCCTGTTTGTTTCTGCTCTCTGATGTTTGGAGAACACGTTGACTTCTTCTTTCAGAACAAAATTTCATCTCTCTGATTCAATTTTTAAAAATTCAATTCAAAAATACTTTATTAATCCTAAAGAGAAATTATTTGTTGTTGTAACTCGTTATCCTCATTTCATTAAGAGATGTTATAGATACTGATGGCTGTAGACAGGAAGAATCTCTTTTAAAGGTCCATCCCACAGTGGATCCTAAGAAACTGGCTGCAGATGCAGTCCGATCCGTCCACCCAGACTTGGCTGGCCTCTCGGTTCCCCTGGGCTGTAGGACCGCCTGAATGTCAGGCAGAACTCCTCCCAGCAGTCTGCCGAGCTCCTCGTCGCTGCAGACAGACAACTGTAGGTGTTGAGGGACGATCCTGTCCTTCTGCTGTCATGAGCCGTGTTTCCTGCTAGTTCCAGGATCTCAGTGGTCAGGCACTCAAGCACAGTTGGCAGGTAGATGAGAATGCGTCCACAGAACATCCTTTCAACTCATTTGAGATTTGTGGCTGTAGTTAAGATATTATTTGAGCTTTTGAGATGTTAATCAGCTGTTGGTTGTAGAAAACTGCCTTGTTGCCATGGTTACACATCATAACAAATGTCCAAAACTAAAAATGTTTCAGTAAAAATCCTTCCAGCTGCACAGCATCCGATACCAGAGGAAACAATCATCCAAAAAATGTGATTTACATCCAGAAAAACAGGAATTAAAGTTTCCAAAAGCAAAATCTCAGAATGAAAGTAACAGAGCTGCTCCGACATGCAGCCACCTTGAGCGGCGCAATTCAAGTCTGATGTTTGGAGACTAATCTACAGGATTATTAGATTATTGATGAGCTGGAATCAAACAACATGATGAACAGATGATGTTTGTTTTCTTCACTAAACAAACTGCATCATGTTCTAACATCACACTCAACAGCTTCCTGCTGCTTCCTGTCAGTCCTTTCAAAATAAAATGACAGTGATTTTAGTTCAGATGTGTTTGATTTCAGTTGTGTGAAGTTCAGATGCAGGAGATAATCCACTAGAACAGTTTGATGGTTGTGAAATAAATCAGAGTTCATTCTGCTTCACTTTAGTCTTTAGACTTCCTCCTTTCTGCAGCAGGAAACAGTTTGATCAGAAGATCAGAGTTGATGTTCACATGAATGATTTGTGTTTCCTCTGCAGGTGAAGGTAGAAAGTGTGTGTGAGCTGATGTGAATTCAGCAGCATGGATCAGTGTGAGGACAGAGAGGAGGTAGTCCCTCCCTCTAAAACCACTCTGTGTGGGGAACATGAGAGCCAGAGCAAAGACCAGAGGTGACATCTTTAACTGTCCACGACTCTTCTCCATGTCAGAGCTCAGCACTCACAGCAACACACTGACTTTATTCACAGGAACACACCTGGACCTGGACCTGGACCTGGACCTGGACCTGAACCTGGATCTGGACCTGAACCTGGACCTGGACCTGAACCTGGACCCAGCTGTGTGTCCTTTAAGAGCGACTGGTCAAAGGATTTTCAAATTGAATTCAACCAAAGAGTTTCCTCCAACAACCAGTAAGTTTCTCTCAGAGTCCAGTCGAGGCTGGATGATATTATAAAGATAATTGTTTTCTGTTGAACGACTTTGAGTTTATTTTTATTTCATTTCTCTGAGACTAAGTTGCTGCTTTCTGTCTGTAACTTGTTTCAAACTCTTGTTGAACAAAGAGAATAAATGTCACATCATGTGAGTCTTAAAGGATGCTGATTGTGTCGTGAACAAAGCTGCTGATAACAGAATCCAGCAGGAACCAGAACCAAACTGAGCCTTCAGCTCTGCTTTTTATTCTTCTCATGTTCAGATGATCCATCAGATGATTTTAGATGAAATGATGAACATCAGCTGAAGTTGGAGCTCATTACCGTCTCCATGGTAACAGAAACTCTCAGCTGTCTCAGACTGACAGTTACAAACATCCAGGATCAACTCTCCAGTGGAAAAACCAAGACCCTCCTCTAAAACTCTGACTGACAGAGATAGAACCAGAACTCCCATCACAACCAGTTTCACTGTTAGTTTCCAGAACATCAGCAACAATCTGGACTTTTTACTAGTTTTACTAGTTTTTGGTACCAGTCTGGTCTCCTGTAACTGGTTTAAAGTCTGAATGGTTTCCAGCTGACTTCCACGTCTCCTTCATTCTGGGACAGAGTCCGAGCTAACAGATCTGGTCTAAACCCTCCTTGGTTCTGGTCTCTGAGTGGAGGTTCAGGTTTTTCCAGCAGCTGACACAAAGAAAGGCTGCTGTGTTCAGCTTGTTGTGTAGTTTCAGAGAACTTCCAGAAACAGAGAGTTCAGGCTGTGATTCTGAGTCCACCTTCTCCTCTCTCAGTCTCTAACAAACACAGAGGAGGCTGCAGCTCTCTGCTCTGCTGCTGACAATAATCTGGATTACTCAACTACACACTCATCCACTTTAATCCAGTTCAAGAAGAACAACATGTCTGCTGCAGGAAGAGGAGGAGAACTGGAGAAGATGGACTGTAGAATTACAGATGTGGTGTCCTGCAGCTGGAAAGGATCATTTCAGGATCAATAACTGAGAACAAATAATCCTGTCACTTTCATCCAGAATGTTCCAGGATCCAGACTCAGGATCTGACACCAATCACCATGACTCAATCATTAAATGTCACTTTTTTAACAGGATCCATCAGAGACTCAAAGCTGGACCTGAACCCAGCTGTGTGTCCTTAAAGAGCGACTGGTCAATGTATCGTCTTATTGATTTTAAATCAGTCCAGCCTCCATCAGCAGAGAGGTGAGCTGTCTCTAAATGTTGTAACTGTGTAAAATGTAACTGAGTCAGTCTGAAATGTTTTCATTCCAACATGTGTTTCATGTGAGCTCAGCTCTTTTTCACACATTTCTATGTTCACATGTGAAGCGGTGTGTGTTGGATGTTTTCTCCAAACTCAGCAGTCAAAGTGAAAGAATGGAGGTTGTAGGAGGAGTTTCTGAGTGTCTGTAGGTCACCAGGTGGTCCAGCAGGTGTCACCTTTGACCTTTGCTTCAAACACAGTGTAGGTAGGAACTTCCACTCAGGTGGCAGGTGTTGCTGGATGGAGGAGGACAAATAGTTTTTGGATCCTGACTCCACATGGACCTTTAGCTGGTGTTTGTTTATGTGTGGACAGACAGAAGTGGAGCTAATTCTTCATGATTCCTCCACAGAGTGGACCAGCAGAGCTCAGAGGTTCCCAGTGCTCAGTCTGCCCAGCAGCATCAAACACAGCTGGACTCCATATTTATGGTGCGTTCATGTACAACAAGTACTTTTCCATGTGTTGTGTTCACTGTCATCTCCATGCTGCACTTTGTAGAACAGTAGACTGTCAGTCTGTCCAACACGTAGACCAGTGGACTGTCAGTCTGTCCAACATGTAGACCAGTGGACTGTTAGTCTGTCCAACATGTAGACCAGTAGACTGTCAGTCGGTCCAACATGTTGACCAGTGGACTGCCAGTCTGTCCAACATGTAGACCAGTAGACTGTCAGTCGGTCCAACATGTAGACCAGTGGACTCTCAGTCTGTCCAACACATAGACCAGTGGACTGTCAGTCTGTCCAACACATAGACCAGTGGACTGTCAGTCTGTCCAACATGGATCTGATGTTTGGCTCCATGATTTCAGTCTGATGTGTCATTCAGATATTTTTCTGTTCCAGCTGCTGGAGGACAACATGGTCACTTTTGTGAAGAATGAGCTGAAGAAGATCCAGAAGGTTCTGAGCCCAGATTACCCAGAATGCTTAGAGAGTCAGAGGGAGGATGAGGAGTTTTTGGAGGCTGAGGATGAAGAGCAGAGGAGCAGCAGAGAGGCATTGATGAAGATCACAGTTTACTTCCTGAGGAGGATGAAGCAGGAGGAGCTGGCTGACCGTCTGCAGAGCAGTAAGAGGATTTCTATAAACATTTAACTTGATGGATAATTAAACCAAATTGTTAAAAATCAGGCTGTTGAACAAGAGATATTGAAGTTCCCATAGCCTAAAAGATTATATCTCAATAATAACCCTATTTCCTTATTCAAAGATTCAACAGCCCTTTGTCAACGTAACCTTAACAGTTGTGTGAAGAAGAGGTTCCAGTGTGTGTTTGAGGGGATTGCTAAAGCAGGAAACCCAACCCTTCTGAATGAGATCTACACAGAGCTCTACATCACAGAGGGAGGGACTGGAGAGGTCAATGATGAGCATGAGGTCAGACAGATTGAAACAGCATCCAGGAAACCACACACACCAGAAACAACCATCAGACAAGAAGACATCTTTAAACTCCCACCTGGAAGACATGAACCAGTCAGAACAGTGATGACAAAGGGAGTGGCTGGCATTGGGAA